CCAATGTGCAAGAGCCCCCTGTGGAGTTCGCCATTATGTAGGAGCCACACAGCAAAAACCATCCTGAAGGAAGCATCATATGGCTGTATGAAAAGGTGATGACTCCAGTGTTATTGCAGGCTGGTTCAGTGTTAGTGAGGTTGTGGCATTCTGAGACCTTAGGCACGTGGCATCCTGTCAGTGTGAAGCAGGTAGCTGCTTGAGTTATAGCTGCCACCTGCAGTACATACATATTGTTGTATTTCATGTCTACACTGGTGCCCCAATTAAAAATATTGGAATATGAGGCAGTGGATGGAAACTCTCTTAACTTAGTATCATTGGTGATGGCTTGTGGTGCTATTGTTACTCCCATTGAGCATGTAGTTAATAATAATAATAATAATAATAATAATAATAATAATAATAATAATAATAATAATAATAATAATAATAATAATAATAATAATAATAATAATAATAATAATAATAAAGTTGGAAAGGACCTTGGAGGTCATCTAGTCCAACCCCCTACTTAGGCAGGAAATCCTATAGCATTTTGGACAAATGGCTGTCCAGTCTCTTCTTAAAAACTTCCAGTGTTGGAGCATTCACCGCTTCTGGAGGCAGGTTGTTTCATTGGTTAATTGTTCTAACTGTCAGGTAGTTTCTCCTTAGTTCTAGGTTGCTTCTCTCCTTGATTAGTTTCCACCCGTTGCTTCTTGTCCTGCCTTCAGGCGCTTTGGAGAATAGCTTGACTCCCTCTTCTTTGTGGCAGCCCCTGAGATATTGGAACACGGCTGTCATGTCCTCCCTCGTCCTTCTCTTCATTAAACTAGACATACCCAATTCCAGCAATCGTTCCTTATATGTTTTAGCCTCCAGTCCCCTAATCATCTTTGTTGCTCTTCTCTCTACTCTTTCTAGAGTCTCAACATCTTTTTTACATCGTGGTGACCAAAACTGGATGCAGTATTCCAAGTGTGGCCTTACCAAGGCATTGTAAAGTGGTATTAACACTTCACGTGATCTTGATTCTATCCCTCTGTTAATGCAGCCTAGCACTGTGTTGGCCTTTTTGGCAGCTGCAGCACACTGCTGGCTCATATTTAGG